CCGGATCCTTATTCCAAACCGAAATAAAATATAACTAGCATTCTATAAAAAAAAATAAATATAGAAAAGAAATAATACTAAATCGCTGTGGATCCGGGTGTAGTAATGGTTTTGATGTACTAGAAACCATACATGTATAGTTTTTTTAATGTATACATACCCTGTACATGTGATTAATGAAGTTTGTACAGGTACATATTCCAATTTCATACAATAATGATCGTTCTGAAATTTTAACAGAGAGAAATTGTACAAAACAAAATTTGTACAGAAATTGTATAGAAAAATTAAATTTATAATTTAATATTCTAAAAATGAGTAAATTAAGTTAATTAGTTATTTACAACAATTGTAAATAGAAATAAACTGTAAAGTTAGAATTATAATGACAAGTTACGATGCATAATTTCTATTTAAAAAAATGTGATTTGTTTACATTTCAAGAATGATACTTTATTTGCTTGGAAAATAAATACAATCATATTTAGCACTGCAAAGTGCCCTATATGGGTCATTTGCTATTAAAAACATGGTAAATCACATTATCCGCGACGTGTTTTTAATAAAAACCACCAATTGAACTTATGATTACAAAGCGAGGTCTTATTCTACCGTCAAGGAAAAGGATAAAAAATATGCTTCTAGAGGCACAGTCATCTCGGTTCAATTTTTTATACTTTCGCAATAGGGCCGCAACGATAGAATATTTTTTTTTTCGATTTTTTTTTTTTTTAAAATAATTAACCTCTTTTAATTATGTATCGTTTCGGCTTGGATCATTTTGGAAGTGTTTGTTATGTATTTTTTTTTAGTTTTTTTAAAATTTTCTTTTTACTTACGGCATCAAAGGATACTGCATCAAGGATTTTAAATTTATTTTATTTTTTTTTTTTAGGATTTTATGATTTTCTTTCGTGATGGATCAGTTCGGAAGGAATAAGTAAGGTTGCTAAACTTTAAAATTGGAAGTAATTAATTCCATCAGCAGTTTATATTTTTGTTTACAAGGAAAATTAATACAAAGTGGCTTAATGTAATTTGTCCTTAATTATGAAGATAGTGGTGGCCCAATTTACGTGGAATGTGTCATGTTCATTTTATTTCAGGTTCTTTGTTCCTTAATATGGTTATTTTGTCTATCTAATTTATTATGGAAATACTTACTGCATCACGAAAATATTAGATAGTACATTAGAAATTAATGAAATATGTTTCACGAAACATAGGCTAATAATTACTGTTTTTTATTTGAGATAAAGTATCCACCATAATATATAATCAAATTATAAAGAGTATTACGCAAAATTTCCATTAGGTTTTGATTGTTTAAATGGATTTTATCACATCATGTTTTCACGCTTCATTAAAAATTGAAGAAATTCTTTTACTAAATTTTTAATTTATCATCGATCGGATTGATTAGGTTTTTAAATGAACAAGCTACATGTGTTAGTGTAAAATTCAACATCTTTTTCTCAAAGTTAAAGATTTAATTCAATATCCAAATATCAAATCCCAGTACGTTAAAGATTATATATCATGACGTTGTAAATAACATATTTAATATAGTTATGTACATTAATCAAAAGAATATTGAATTTAATCGATTTATAGATACTTTTTATTTAACTAAATCATGTCATGTGATCTTTTACCATGCAAAACAATGTCGATCATATGATCATATCATATTCTATTTGGAGTATTATTCCCGAAAACTTTCTTTTTGAATAATTATTTTCTATTTCATTTATTTCAATGTCCTTTAATAATCAGTCGTTGATGCATGGAAGAGGGTAGATGCATTAACTGATAAAAACGATGACATAGGCAAACAGTATGAATTTCGACAACAATCAATTTACGCTGACGAATCTCTAACAGACGAGGAAAAATCAGAGGCAATAAAAACGATAACTTATGTTTATAAATCAAAAAATTAAGAAAATTTGTGAAAATTGCAAACAACAATGTTTAGCAATATTGTATTGTTAACATTGTGTTCAAAGTTATTTAGAAGCAAAATTTCAGAATGGACATCTGAAAATAATGAAATTGATAATTTAATAAAGAGATATCAAATGTTAAATCCTATTATTATTCATAAATTAATTGAGTGGATACTGTATAATAATTTATAAAATATTGAATATTTAACTAGAGGTAGATGCTCTGAAATTTACACAGCAATGTGGATTGATGGTTGTTATTCAGAATGGGATTTTACCAAAAAACAATTAAAAAGAACTGGAACCTATAAAATAATACTTAAAAGATTATATAATGTAGAAAGTGCTAATAAAAATTAGTTTGAAGAGGTATATAGTTTTAGAAGTAATAATAATTGATATTTTTTTTTATAAAAAAAGAAAAAGAAAGAAACTAATTAAATTTTACATATAGACTGAATCTCAATCATTATTAAGCTGCAAATCAGTAGCACTCATTTTAACTCATGGTCTTACTTAAGATCTACAAAATAAAGATTATTTTTTAGTAATGAATTTATATGATATAGATTTAAAAAAAATATTTACAACAAAATCATAATCAGCTTATATGAAAACAAAGAATTGACATAATTTATAACATAATTAATACAATTTTATACATTCATCAAAAAATTCTATTTATAGAGATTTGCATTCAGAAAATATACTATATTCTAAATATGGTAATAGTTGGCATATTAGTGATTATGGATTTTGTGATCCTATTGATAAACCATTAGAAAGTATATATAGAAATCTTTCTTATATAGCACCTGAAGTTATTAATGAAAAAGGATATACATATGCATCAGATATTTATAGTCTTGGTATACTTATGTGGAAAATTTTATCTAAACAACCACCGTTTGCTAATTTTGATCATGATTATAATCTTATAATGAAAATAATAAATGGAATAAGACTAAATATAATATTAGAAACTCTAACAGAATATAAAAATTTAATGATACAATGTTGAAATGCAAATCTATTAAAAAGACCTGATATTCACATCCTTTGTAACAAATTTTATGACATACGTAAATTATATTATCAAAATAAAGATGCAGTATGCACTATTAATTTAAATAATACACAATCAAATATACAAGCTAATTTAAATTCTAATTCTATTAATTTATTAGATAAGAAATGTAGTAAACTTTATATTTTTAAAAATATACCTGAATCAAAAAATACTACTAAAGATAAACTTTAAATTTTATTAATTATATTTATATATTAAATAAAATTAAATTACCTTTTTTTAATTTATTTAAAATTATAAAAAAACAAGAAGGTTGTATATAAAATTTTTAAAATATTTAAAGTTCAATTTAATATTAATTTAATTTTTTTATAATACAACTTATGATAGTAAATAGAATAGTCTTAATATTCCAGATCATAAGTAATATTTATTAGTTTATATATAATCAATAAGAAATTTATTTATTAACTTGATTATCTTATAAAATTAAAAAAATTACTAAAGATAATACTAAGCAAAATATTTCTATAACAACTATTGGTAAAAATAGATATATGTAATATTTTATTTGAAATTCAAATTATATGACTTAATAATTCAAATCTTTATATAATTAATATTAACAGATATAAATATTAGTAAATCTAAAAGAAATTTTTCATATTTTGCTAATGATAATGAGTCTTTTATTATTATTATACTTTTAAATAATAATTATACTTTAATTTTTTTACTTTATTAGAAAATCAAAAAGATTTAGAAAAAGATAATTATTTATAAATTTTTGTTTAATTTAATATCTGATAATTATAAATATATTATTTAGGAATTAATTATATAAATGATAAAATTGAGACATATTATATACAAAAATTATATAGTAAGTGATGGTAAAAAAGTGATAAATTAATTATTTTATTATTAAACTTAAACTTTAATTATTTTAATCTTATTAAACTTAAAATTTAATTAATTTAATCTTATTAGATGATGAAAAAATATATAATAATTCAAATTTTCATTCAGAAGATCAAGATAATTTAAAAATTTATGAAGATTAAAATAAAATTATAAAAATTATAAATATATATTTAAATAAAATAATTTATGATTATAATAAAATTATATTATTAATTTAAAATATATCATATTTTTTTATATATACTATATATTATATATTTATTAAAGGGAAATTGTATTTGGCGACCTCTAAAGTCACGTGACATATATATTAGTCACGTGATAAACATTAAAGTCACGTGATTATAAAATTTAATAGTTTGCGCGAATAATACAAGTCATGAGCGTATAACGAGTTACGAGCGTATTATACGTTACGAGCATATAACAAGTCACGATCGTATAATGAGTCACAAATCACAGATCACGAGCGTATTATGCATTACGAGTATATTACGTATCATGAGAAATTTTTTGTATCACAGATCGTAAATGTGTATACACATGATAACATATGTGTATGCATTAATCATGACACGAAAAAATTTTCTGATATTTCTATCCTATGATTGTCATACTCGTTCCTGGTCCTTTTTTGACTTTAGCTTCTTTGGGTCCAATTCGTAGATAAATATTCGTTTTTTCTTTTGAAGGTCCAATTGGTCAAGTTGATTGGTTTCTTTAAGGATTCACCGTTCTTTCTATAAGAATTATAAGAACGATAGTTAAATTGGTTAAATTTTAACAGTTTAATATAAAAGTTGCTATTTGATAGCAGCAGCTTTTTCTTGAATACTTAGTCATAATCCATTTAAGCCATTTAAGCCATTTTTATAAGTTCTACTGTAATAAGAGCGCAAATTAACTTTTTTTGACCTCTTATCACCTTTCTTATAGGATACGTTTTTAATGATATAAAGGTTTTGATTATATAGTGGTGGGTCGAACTCTCCTGTATTCTGTTGTCCAAATTCTCCTCCTTCTCCTCCTCCTCCTCCTTGGGTACTTATCGTGCTCGATTGCGTTGTCTGTTGGGTTGAGCTACTTCGATATTAGTCATGGAAGAATTAAATATTCAAAATGAAGGATCCGAAGTACTACAAGACAAGGAATTTGAAGGATCCGAAGCACTACAAGACAAGGAATTTGAAGCATTATTAGAATATGATAGTGCAGAAGATTTTCCCGATACAGATAAGTAAGCAATCAATCAAGTAATTAGAGTATCGTATTGTATATTGGGATGACAAAACATATCTAATAAAAGTAACCGTTTTATCTTATAGTATATCTGGTGACATTGAGAATACGACGGAAAAGGATATAAGTCTTTTTGTTGGAAAAATTTTTCAAAGTTGGGATCATGTTTCAAATTTCATGAAAAAATACGCCGCTACTAAAGGTCACAGAGTGCGAATTGGTGGTGGTGGGAAAGTAAATAAAGCAAAGGAAGTAATTAAGCGAACTTATTTGTGCCGGCATGCTGGACAAGCAAAGTCCAATCGGACAGCACTTATGGAGAAACAGCATTCAAATACGTCCTCATGTAGAATCGGGTGCCCGTGGAAGGTTAATATTTGGAACAAAAAAGACAAAGGCCATTTGGAAGTTACGACTTTACATGATCAGCATACTGGTCATGAACTTCACCCATTAGCAGTTCGATTTGTTCCAACATTGCGCAAACTACCAGAGGAAGTCATTGAAGAAATTCGTTTTTTAACCGTCGTTGCCAAAGCAAATGCAACCATTCAATATAGAGTTATTAGAGAAAAGTTCAATATTAGAATTATCTGACAAGATCTTTATAATGCCATAAGCAAGTTTCGTCGCGAAATGGCACCAGGTGAAGCAGATACGGGGATTTTACTAAAAAGACTCTATAGCAAAAAAATGGAGGACCCACGTTGGGTAATTTCAATGAAGCTTGATCCGGATACTTCTTCTTTAACTCATCTTTTTTGGATGAGTCCTGAACAACACATTTTATGGTTGCGCTACCATGACGTAATAATGCATGATAACACTTGCAAAACCAATCGCTATGATCGTCCTTTGTCCCTCTTTGTCACCCCCGATAACAATTTGAAAACGCGAATTGTGGCCCAAGCAATTGTTG